AAAATCAGAAGAAGTAGCAAAGAAGCAACTCTCCAAAGACTCCATCTTATCTCTGTATGGTACAGGAACAGTTCAACAGCAAAGCACTCCTGGTAATTAATTTTGAAATCTGCTTTCAATACATCACAGTAACATTACTAGAAGTACATCCTTTTTACTTCTATTATATTTCTTCCCTATTTTCCTATGGTAGTAGGTGCTTTTTTTTGTTGCMGTGATTAAAAGTCAAGTACAGAATTCACAAAACTTTATTCAGTTAGAATTAACAAGCTGTTCATGTATCACTTAATATTTTTTCACAAGTTTATAGGACATGGATTATCTTTGAAGAATTATTGAAATTTTATTTACAGGAAGTTTATGACTATGTACTACTGTAAGTAAACAATAAGCAGTCTGAATTATTACATGATTCCAAAATCTTTGAAATGTTTTGTCATTACAATGAAAAACTAGCATAAAATTTATTCAGTTTTAATCTGTCTAGACCATTTCCTCTTAAATAGTGAGTTGCATTTCACACATGGGCTGAAATTGTATAACAATCCAACTACTTCGTTATAAAGCCAAATATAGTCAACTCTCATTTGCCTGTTTGGTACTGGGAGACATGTGGTGCAAGTCAGCAGAGAAAGCAGATACTCTCATGCTGAGTAATTTGGTCTTTACAGTGGAGGTATTTAATGTGGCTATTGCCTGAGAGTTTTATTTTCTATTTAAATTTTCTCAGGTTAATAACTGATTTGCTTATTCTAGAAATAAACAGCTCTGAACGTTTAGGTTTGGGCTRTTCGTAGGAGGAAAAACAGCCAGATCAGAGTGAAAATTTTTGCTGTAGGTATATCAGAAAATCGTAATCCTTTTTCTGTGTCTATAGAGGTGAGTGTAACTATATACAATGGCCCTCTTTTTCATTTTTCTCTTCATGGTTCTTGTGTTACAGGTGTGTTTATGGGACCCACAAATATACCATTTACCTCACAAGCACCGGCTGCATTTCAAGGTTTTCCATCAATGGGTGTACCTGTGCCTGCAGCGCCCAGCCTTCTAGGAAATGTGATGGGACAGAGTACAGGCATGATGGTGGGCATGCCCATGCCTAATGGGTTTATGGGAAATGCACAAACTGGTGTGATGCCACTTCCTCAAAATGTTGTTGCCCCTCAAGGAGGAATGGTAGGACAGATGGGTGCACCTCAGAGTAAGTTTGGCCTCCCACAAGCTCAACAGCCTCAGTGGAGCCTCTCACAGGTAGGAGTCATTTACTCTCTTTCAAGGAAATTGACTAGGGATAATATAAGATCAAAAGTTGCATCAGAGAGAGAAATGCTTTGTCACTGTCCCTATTTTTTAAAGTATTTTGTAAAGAACTGTTAGGTTCCTTTTTTCTTCATTTCAGATTGTAACACTACTGTCATGGTAAAAATGCCTAATCTATTTATAATAGCTAGAAATTTATCTGAGGCATGATGAGAGACTTCTTGTCTGCCACCTTTGAGGTTAGCGTCAGGCTTTTCCTAGCTCCCTAGTAGGATGTTTTTGAAGTCTACTTAGACCAACCTATCTTTACCGGTTATTTATTTATTTAGTACTGAGAATTGAACCCAGGGGCACTACTTAACTACTGAGCCACATCCCCAACCCTGTTAAAATATTTTATTTAGAGATAGGGTGATGCAGAGTTGCTTAGACTAGCTTTGAACTCATAATCCTCCTACCTCAGCCTCCTGAACTACTGGGATTACAGGTGTGTGTCATTGTACCGGCAAATTTTTGCATCTTTTTTGCTTAACTTTCACAGATGAGAAAATATWATCAAAGCACAATTTTATGAGGGATCAAAGCTGTCTTCAAGTCCTGTGACTACTGCCCATGGATTTATAGAAACTTTTTTTGTTCAGTAACCCTTGTAAAATTGTATTTCCTTTTTATATGATCTGTAATGACTTTATATTTAAAGTGTATCCACTGGCTCAAGAATTCCCATAAGGTATGAAAAGTCTGTACTTGTCTCAGACATTCCTTCATATTATAAAATTATTTTTCTACCTAAGTTTRTTTAGAGCCAAGAGAACATTTCTATCTTAGGCACTGTGTTCTGAATTTAGCTCCATAGACAAAAGCTCCTAGACTTAGATTTATGTTCCTCTTCCCCATTTGGTGGTCTTGGTTTCTAAGTGATCAGAGTTTTACCTTGAGAACATTCAGGKAATAGTCTTGATTCTAATGATTGTAGCAGAATTATTATATATCATATGAATGTTTCAATTTATTTATTTATTTACACTCRTGATTCACAGAAGTCTCTACCTTCTAGGAATCTTAAGTTTCTAGAAATCTCAAGTACTAAATATCAGTAACAGCTTTTTTTTTTTTTTTTAAGAATTTTAACATTTATTTTTTAGTTTTCGGTGGACACAACATCTTTGTTTGTATGTGGTGCTGAGGATCGAACCTGGGCCGCACACATGCCAGGCGAACGTGCTACCACTTGAGCCACAGCTTTATGTGGCCAAAGTGCTAACACATTCAGCTCAGATTTAGGTGCAGATTAACCCATAAGGAGTTAATGTTGGCCTAACTCTCAGATAGTRTGCTGGAGAATAGCATCGCCCTTTTGCACTGTCAGTGAAATTTATTGGCCAATGATAAAGTGGTTAAAATATCCTTCAGTAGGTATGAAAATGTAATCTGCCTGCTCTTCAGACACTTATGTCTGATCAGCAATGTAGTTGTTCTTGTCTTTCAGAAATTGCAAATAGAATACAATCTTACCCTGAGCACAGGTTTCGAATTCACTCTGTACATGATGTTAAAATTTTGCCTTTCCTTCTCTTATCACCAATCCTGAGAGTAAGGAACCATAGGGCTAAGAGGCTTGCTTATAAATATACTTGACTCCAATCTGGAAGAAATTTCATACTGCAAATTTTAACTGTTAGTGTTGTTAGAACAAAGAGGAAAAATGTTCTTTATGAACTTTAATATTTAGAAAGTATAAAGACCCATTTAAGATTTTAATAGAGAATTATAGCCATCATGCTAGGTTTATAGGATAATTTTAGAATATTTTACTTTATGAAATTTTCTTAGTTCTTAGTACAGTATCTCAAAATAAAGAGTAATGGACTCATTTTATAATATAATCCCATATGCAAATTCAAAGATTGTTCTCTCCCYATTCAGTTAGGGTTAATAAGAAATTGAATCTAGGGCTGGGGTTGTAGCTCAGTGGTAGAGCACTCGCCTAGCACATGTGAGGCCCTGGGTTGTATCCTCAGCACCATGTAACAATAAAATAAAGGTATTGTGTCCAACTACAACTAAAAAATTAAAATATTAAAAAAAAGAAATTGGATCTAGAAAATGAATGAAAATGATTGAGATTAATACTAAAAAGTGGAAGAAAATAACAAGGGAACAAAGTATGTATTTGCTTTCTGTAAAGAAATATGTATATGTTAGGTGAAAGACTAAGTGCTTTAACTAATTTTCACATTGATGAAAAAATACCCAACTGTGGCTAAAGAAGCAAGAACTGAAAATGAAGTAATCCTAAGTCTTTTGTGTGTTTCACAGATGAATCAGCAAATGGCTGGCATGAGTATCAATAGTGCAAACCCTGCAGCAGGTTTTGGCCAGCCCCCCAACACAACAGCAGGATGGTCTGGAAGCTCATCGGGTCAGACTCTGAGCACACAACTGTGGAAATGAAAACTGCAATACAAGTTTCATCCAGAATTAACACCTGACATTCCTTGCTAAAACGCATCTAGTTCCCCTGTTTATTCATGTACATATATTTTTTTTTCTTTTCCCCCCATTTGTTCATATTAGGAATTACCTGATTGACCGTGTTGGTCTGTTACTGATTAAATTTGATGTGGTGAAAAGCAGGTTGAAGAACCATTTTATGTCAGGGGCAGCTTTGCTCATGTTTCCCATGATCTCATAAAACTACATTATTTGAGAAGCTGCTCAGTCAACTTGCATAATCAGTTTTACTCRATAAAATTATAGCTCTAATGTTTGCAATATAAGGGAAGTAGTTATCATGTTAGTAATACCTCTAACAGTATAAACCCCACCCCCAAATTAGCCAGTAATCCTGTAGGAAGGTACTGTATGATCAAATGTTTAATCATATAAATAGAATGTAAATGTATCACTGAGCACTGTTTTCTAGTGTATCAAAATTCTTTTATTTCATCATTCACTTCACTGTGCTGTTGTTATGATGTGCTTAACAGGGAACGTGGTTAGTGAAAGGAAGATAAACCTGGATGTTACTATAAAACTTAATTTAATGAATGTTTAAAGAATTTGAATTTTACCTGCCTCTTATAATTTGGATCTCTTCCTATGTACATAGTGCTAACATGAAGACCTTTTTCTGCACTATATGCAAACAGGGTAACTAAAAGCCACTTTTAATCCTTGAAGGTATATCCAGGTTTATGACAGTAATTGTGTTTACATTTTATGGTGCCTAGTATTGACAAAATGTTATTTCCCTATATATTAAACAGATAAATCCATAGACCTTTTTATTTGTGGACTTTTTTTTTTTCCTCCTATAATGAATACTGCCACAAGCCTTCCAAAATTTACTTCATGTGAAGTTAGGAATTGGTAATGTTCAATTGACAAAATACTTGTCATGGGCAAGTATTACACCTATTCAGTTCTACCAATTATCAGGCCAAATGAGGGGRGAACAGAAAAATTAAATAAGATATTGATGCAAGTATTTTGCATCATTAGCTGTACTGTACAAAAATTCTCCAGTTAAGTTGGAGAGAAAACATGCAGAAAAAATGAAGACAAAACATAAATTTTGTACCATCAAATTAGTTACATTAACTGACAAGCTCTGTTTAGACAGATGTCCATCAGATGACAATAAAGGCCGTTGTACTGAAGTAAAATAAACAATACCTGAATGCTCTGCATCCTAAACACCAGTCATCCTCTTCCACATCACTGGCCAGGTTGATTGTGCCAGTTTTTGCTTCATCTTACACCTCAATTTTCACTGTGTCCAGGTGGTACTTGGGCTCGTTGGCTAGATTAACCTTCTCTGTCCGAGTGTGCCACACAAGAACCTAAAGGGGAGGGAAATATTTTGGGCAGCCACATTCTCAGCGCTGATACTCAAGGCCAAGCAGCACAAGTGAAATGAGTACCTTGGTGCAGTTATTTGCTTTTGGTTCCAGTTCTTCCACTGTTGTTATCTGTTTTAGAAAGTCAGATTCTTGCATCCCTGGCTGGGACCCACGACGCTTAAATACAGCTTTTGGATTAGACAAGATGACTTGAAGACTTACAGCAAATCCTTTGTGAAAAGTTTAAAAAAAAAATGACATTAAAGTAAAATATTGGTGTACTTTTTCTTTTTTTCTGAGGTTTTGGTCACATCAAAAAAATGTCAAATACTATGTTATATTTTGGTTTACCAAGTTTAATAGGAATATTACCTGCTTTATCATCTCAAGAGGAAAATTAGTCATTACAGTGCAAAACAGGTATACCCATGGGACATCTACCATAAAATATGAAGCCTGGTTTGTGGTTAATAAAAGGTTTCACAGAGATTATCATAACGCCACTTTTGATATTCTGAACTCAGTGCAACTAGAACAATTGTGGACCTACCTTAATTATCCTTAGGGTATGAGATCCAGATCATCCACATTTCCTGCCTGCCCTTTAACATCATTGTGTATTTTTATCAAACTCAGCACTACTGGTGTTGTATTAAGAAGACTAGTTATAAAAGTCAATTACATAGAAAATGAGTAATACCTAATTTATAATCATTTGTTTCAATCTAAAATGGTGAGGGGAGAGGGGGTTAGAAATTAGTTTAGAAGATATAGGCCATTTGAGAACTAGTTTTTAGTATTTGGGGGGAAAAGGGGGCTGAATGCTCTGCATCCTAAAAGTGGTAGCTCACTTGCTTGGCACACACATGAGGCCCTGAATTCGCTCCCCAGTGCCTCAAAAAAGAATGTATAAATCCCCTTCAGTGATTTGGTTATATAAAATGTCATTACTGTTTAAACCGTAGTTTAACAACCTTTGCACTTAAACCTCAGGAATGAAAGCACTCTACAAGTTATCAAGTCATTGTTTTGAAAGTCTGAAGCCCTTTTGCTTTTTATGACTAAGGTAACAATGTAAAGTCAGGCAACCTCCCAGAGTTGAAGTTGTGAGGACCAGTTCCCAGGAACATTTCTTAGCAACATCTTATCCTTCTCTACATTAACCTGAATTGATTTATGCTTATTTGTGAAAAAAAGTTGTACTAGCAAATTTAGTACCAAATGATACCCAGCAGTAGTGGAGGAGCTTTGAGGAAACCATACCACCATTCTTTTAACCTCTCTAGGTGCCAGACTGAGCAGTCTCATGTTCTAGACCCTGCTGCCTTTTGGGAAAATATTAATACTCAGCTGTGTACAAACTACTTGGTATAGTTGGTACTGAGTAAAGCAAAACAAAAAATCATGAAACAGCCTGAAGACTCCCAGTATCTCCACCAATCCTCCAGGGAGACAGCACATTATAGCAGAAAAACACTGAATTTGAAATGATTAGCCTTTTCTGTTGTCTAGGTCCTTGCATTTGGGACACTGGCCAAGTCATTCAATCTTTCTTGATGCTGTAACTTCTATATTTCCTCATTTGCAAGAGAAGTGTGACCCCTTCTTAACTTTGATATATGAAAATCTGTGGAAGCACTCAATTGAATACAAAGCACTATTCAAAAGATTACAACAAATATATTAAAAATAGCACTGTGAATAATTTCACGAAGGGCAGGTGTATTGGCCACCAGTTGTGGCTAGAAGAATACTGATTGACAGCTAAAGGGTTTGTAAAACATTTTTGGTAGCAGAGCTACACCATCTGCATATCATACCACTCTGATAACAAATCCAAAGCTGCTTTCAGGCATGGCTAGACCATGAGACATAAAAGAACACCAAAGATTCAAATTAATATCAAAGTGCCTTTTCTCATAGTCCAGCCAGATTTTAGTGCTAAAAGATTTCTTGCTCTTTCATGTAGCTTCAGCCCTTTTTTTTTTTTCAGTCTAAATGAGAGTTGGTCCTTCTCAATCATCCTGAAGCTTCTGACATATTCTTTAAATAGCTTATAGGTACTGATTTTATTTTCCCTTCTCTCAAAAAAAAAGTCCATATTATGCAAAAGTAATTCTAAAAAATGATATGAAACTAGTTTGATTTGATCTTCCTCATTTTCCCCAAAGACTAAAACATTCATTACCATGACCACTGAAGGAATCAGATTAAGAGTATGCTCTTACTTTCCTTTATTTAGGACTATCCTAACTCACTGCAGAGTTACCTGGCAGTCAGCAGAGTGACACGAAGCCACACACCCTTCTGCTGCAAGGACCCCTTCTCCATTTGGAGAAGAGTGGCTGGCTCACCACAGGAGCAAAGGGCTTTTCTTTTTTCTAATACAAAGAGTAGGCGTGCATAGTTCAGGTGCTTCTCTATCACCTACCTCAATTTCTTTGCCCACATCCTCAGTAAGCTTTTCAAAAGAAGCAGGTCACAACCAGCAGGCAGGGACCACAACCTAACTAGACCAAACTGTGAGCTGCTTTGGGGGAATCTTGTGCTATTCTGAGAGTTCAGGGAGAGTTAAGGAGCTCCCCCTCTGAAACATGCAAAGAGTTTTGAGGTCCTAACCACTGATTTTCGACCCAAAATGGAAATCAGGTTTTCTTCAATTCCAAGTATTTTTGCCTCAAGAATTATGTCTTCCCTTTTTTAGTGAGATTAGTTTGGCTTTAAAAATCTTGCTGTGGCTTTTGAGATATTGAATGGAACCTTATGAAAATCAGGTGAGTAGTATTTTCTGTCCTGTCAGTTATGTAAAAAAGAAAATGAAAAGGGATTGTTCTGTGGGAAAAAATAAAAAAAGATTTCCTAACTAACTTCTTCAGGCAGAGTTAGGTGGGGAGGATATATTCTCTCCAAGACTGGGACAGAGCCTACCTCAATACCTTCCAATGATTACTAGGTAGAAAAATTGCAAGTTGTTCAAAGTTTAGCAAGCCATTTCTACTTCTGGTCAAGATAAAGCAACAGGGACTGGACTGAGTTTTCTCTGTATTAATCACTAACATCAGACAAAATGTTTGAAGTTTTTCTAGATATTGGAAAAGAGGTAGTTAGGACAGATATCTCAAAAAAAAAAAAAAAAAAAAGGTACATGTGAGACTTACAACAGCCCCAACCTTCCTGAAAAGTGTTTGCAGGCCACACCACAGGGCAAGGAACCAAAACAACTTCAGTCTCCTTGAGTTGAGGAAACAAGTGAGAACTTGAGGAAGTCAAGACAACTAGAATTTGTGAGTACTAGGAAAGAAAGAGCTCTTGATCAATAGAACGTTCTCCTCAAGTCTTGAACTGAGCATCATCAGCTCTGTAAACTCCCCAAGACCATGGTAAGAACTCATGACAAAGAGCAGATAGATCAATTAATGGGGCTTACATAGGCTGGAAATAATTCACATTAGCAGCCAGACTGGGCACAGTTATGCACATCTATAATCCCAACAACTCAGGAGGCTGAAGCAGGAGGATCACAGGTTTGAGGCCAGCCTCAGGAACGTAGTAGACCCTAAGTAACTTAGCAAGATCCTGTCTCAAAAAGGGCCGGAGATGTGGCTCAGTGGTAAAGCACTTCTGGATTCAATCTCCAATGCCAAAAACACCGCRAAATAACAAAAATCTACAGCCAAGGTAGTGCTACCATGTAACAGTGGGAACACCTGGAAGAGTATGTGAAAGGTTATTGTGGGGTTAAATCAGCCCTAAGGTCTGAGCAGTTCTAACTTTAAGCCAGAAAAAGATTAAAATGTTTAAGTGTCTTAACTGTCAAAGTACAAACCTCAAAAATATTTGCATATATAATAAAATATATATATATATACACACATATACATGTGAGATACATACTATATGTATGTATGTGTATAGAAATAGATATATCAGTACCTAGCAACTTAAAATTTAAACATTTAAAAAAAATTAGCTGGGCATGGTGGCACATGCCTCTAATCCCAGCAGTTTGAAGGATGAGGCAGGAAGATTGTGAGTTCAAAGCCAATCTCAGCAACTTAGTGAGACCCTAAGCAACTCAGTGAAACCTTGTCTCTAAATAAAATATATAAAAGGGCTGGGGATGTGGCTCACTGGTTAAGCATCCCTGGGTTCAATTTCTGGTACCAAAAATAATAATAATAAAATATTATTATTATTTTCAAATATTATCTGGGCCATTTAAAAACCACCAGATGTACAAAGAAACATGAAAATACAATCCTATGTTGAAGAACAAATTCAGTCAACAGAAATCACACAGATGATCTATCAGAGAATGACATAAAATATAAACAAACATACTTCATATGTTCTAATCCTATGAATAATCAATACAGACACCAAAGGAAGGACTCAGTATGCCAATAGAGAGAAAGGGAGATATTTTTAAAAGACCAAAGTCATYCCAGTGATAAAAACTACAATGAGATGAAAAATAGACTGGGTTGGTAAATGAGACATTACTAAATAAAAGATTAGTAGGTTTAAATATATAATAACAAAAAGTGCCAGATGAAACACAGAAAGACCAAAGCATAATTGTGTCACAGAGACTGAATGAAACAGGGAGACAGTAAAGCTATATGAGGCTTCAAGAACACTATCATCAACCATCCACCCATAATGGCGTCTTGCACCATCTTTTCCATTGCATATGGAACACTACCAAGCTAGATGATAGTCTGGGCCATACAGCAAGTCTCAATAAATTTTTAAAATTCAAATTGCACAAAGTATGTTCCCTGACAGTGGTAGAATTAAAATAGAAATTACAAAGATGTATTATTTTCCAAAACAACTTAATTCTAAATAAAATTAGACCAAAGAAGAAGTAAAACTGAGAAAGTAAGAAAATGAGACATTTCCAAGTTTGTAGGATGCATCTAGTGTGGTACTTTGATGGAAAATTAAGGGTTTTGTTTGGCTGGTTTTTATTTTCYTTGAGGAGACTGGCTGGCCCCAAAAGCCTGGGCTCAAGAGATCCTCCTGCCTTAGCCTCACCAGCAGCTAGAATAATAGGCACACGCCCCCACATCCAGCACAAGATTAATATTTTTTAAAAGCTTTAAAYACCTTACATAAGAAAGGTCTTGATGACCTAAATCTCTCTTTATAAACTAGAAAAAGTAAACGAGACTCAAAGTAAATAGAAAAAGGGTTCTAACAAATATAAAAGCAGAAATCACTGAAG